TAAGTCGATTGTATAAAATGGTTCAGAAAGAGTGTGACATCTGTGTCAGGACATGAAAGGAGAAGCAATACTTCAGAGATAGAAAAATAACAATGGAAGAAAATGGTTTAGAGACATGAAGAAAACTACAGTGAGCAGGTGAAGCAGGTCAGCTTTTAGAGAGGATAGATTTGGGGAAAGAAGACAAACACTGATCTGAAATCACGGACAAGGAGCAATGAAGGCCATGATTCCACATCAGCCTCTCACTAGGAACTCACAAGAACCTCCAACTTAAGTTATTCTTCTCGCCTTTGATACCTCCTTAAGGAATTCCATGGGGCGAAACAGCCCTCCAACCAAAGCTAGGCAAGTCTAGGGGTACTCTAGAGGTTTGTGCCCAAACAGATTTCAGGTTATAAGTGAAACATGTAAATTCTGTATGGAAACAGGTCTACTCAGCCCTGGATTCTCTAGTCTGGTACTTGCTCATGAGGAATGATCCTGACTGCTACTATCACCACTGCAGCCTAGGTACATTTAGGGATGTCTTTAGACAGCTGAAGACTGATGGGACCTAGGCCACTACAATATACAGGCCAGTCTCCCTCATCTTACAAAGCACAGGACAGCTTCCCAACAAATGGATATATGGCCCAGAATGTTCAGAGCTCAGCTTTGAAATACCTGCTCTAAACAGCTCGCAGGAGCTGTTAGATTCTTTCAGAGAGGCAGATTATCCCATGCCCATGGTTTATTCATACCCAGCTTGACAAGTATGACTAAGGAATCAGACCACAGACATCTGCCTTGTGAATTCCACTTCAAATACACTCAGATAGGGCCAGGGAGAAAAAAGCATAATAGATGGTAAGAGAAAAAAAAGAAAAGGAAAAAGCCATGTCATATACCAAGTATTAAAGATGAGAACAAACACAATGACTCTTCCTTAAGTTTAAGACAGAAAAATGCAACTCTGTTCTGAATCATCACCATGTTTCAGCCAAGTTCAACAGTCCATGGGCCCCCTCAGCTCTGCTCACTTCCGAAACACTCCTTTTCTCTATGGTGTTTCTGTACTCTTGGTTGCAAAAGAGTTCTATGGAAAAGGAGCTTGTGTTCTTATGAACAGAAATCCTGGAGTTCACAATAGCTGATATGTTGTTTTAAGAATAGAGACTCTACTAATCTTGACAACAGAGAGTAAAATGTGTATTTACTTTATCAGTATTTCACTGACAAAATCCAGTATTTTATTTGAACAGTTGTGTAATCTTGAATTATATAAATAAAAGAAATTCTCTTCAGCCCCTTTCCCAGAATTCCCTTTTATGTTCTTCAGTGACAGTGCAGCAGGTTTGCCCTTCCTTGAGGCTTCTCCAGAAAAGCTTTTCCCAGTGATTTTGCTTTCAGTGTGGAAGGTGTTCTAACTCTGGCATTCCAATCTTCACTTTGAAATCTGCTCAAGGAAAATTTAAACTCATGCATATGGAGAAGAGATCGCTGTGTCTCAGTGAGAAAATAGATCCTCCAGCCTGAATGTTTGATCAGTAGGCTGTCTGGAGCCCACTGTGCTGCCTTATCAGAGGACATCGCATAGCGAGATGGTTTCTGCTACTAAAGGAGTTAATCCCCGGAGAAGAATGACTCGCACAACTGAGTGAGTGAGGCAAGTCAGGCCTGGCCAACAAAACCCTTGTGCAAGGCCCGGCTGCATCCTCTGTGGGACAGAGGGCACTTACGGAGTTTCTGAAGCCACACTTGGAATAGTGTCCTTTAAAACACACCTCTCCCAAGCCTAGCACTATTCCTCATAGGAGCATGGTCACCACAGCAGGGCCTATATCGATGGGCACTCCATAAACTCAGAGAAAAGGCAATGTGTGTTGGTATTTTAAGAATGAAATGTCATTTTGTAATACAAAAGTCACACCCATCTGTGTGCATATAAATATGCATGTAATATGTAGTATAAATGAACGTGTAGATGGTTTGAGGTAAAGGACTGCCAGCTCCCCTAATCTAATCAATAAATACTGAAGGCATAAAACGTTATGCTCTACCCAGTAAATATCTACAGTACTATGGCAATTCTCAAAAATGAATACTTATATTTTAATTTAAAAATGAAACTGGAATTGTCTCAAGATGTCCTTCAGGACAACTGGCAAGAAAACCATATGCATAACTTAAGTAATGGAAAAGACGAAGAAAACTATAAGCATTCATATTTCATGCCAAGTGTGTTATATTATGTAACTGGATTCTCTTCACCAAGTAGTTTCCCTAGTGTTAGGAGGCATTAGCCCCTGTTCAGGGAGGACTGTGACAAGCCCCAGCAGAAAGGGAGGAGCGGCCTTGAGTCCACACCGCAGAGAAAGCAGAGCTGAGTCCACAGCCAGGCTTCTTGACTGCTTGCCACCTTCTCTCTCTATGTCCCAGACTTTCTCTTTAAACCTATATTTGGGCTAGATCAGTAAGTAGAACTGTAGATAGAAAATTATGTTAAACCAAAACCTAATCACACTAAATACAGGACAGACAGGTTGATTTTAAGCATATGAAATTTTATATGTGTATACAGAAAATAAGTAGAAAAGATGAAGGAAAAACTAAAATTAAAAAATAGGCAGAACTTGGGCTGGAGAGATGGCTCAGTGGTTAAGAACATTGCCTACTCTTCCAAAAGTCCTGAGTTCAATTCCTGGCAACCACACGGTGGCTCACAGCCATCTGTAATGAGGTCTGGTGCCCTCTTCTGGCCTGCAGACATACACACAGACAGAATATTGTAAACATAATAAATAAATAAATAAATATTAAAAAAATAGCCAGAACTTGCTTTTCCTATGGAAATGCTTAAGCACATAATAAGATCATTGAAATGTATTCCTCTGTGTATTATGTCTGCTCCAGGTTAATTAAGACTAAGAATAAGTAAGAAGAGGAGGAGAAGGAAGAGGAAAGGGAGGGGAGGAGGAAGACCAGGGAAAGTGAGGGGGGAGGAGGAGAGAAGAAAGAAGATAAAGACTGAAAATGGCTCGACCAGGTTAAGATGGAGAAAGGAACAGTCATCCATTGTTAACGCCCCAACTTCACCAGTCAGAGTGACTGACAGTGTTTCTTCGCTGTATCAGGGAATGGAATTTCTGCAAGCTGAAAAGCTTTAAGAACATTCATGTCTCCAAAGAAATCTTCCAGTCTTATGTGATATAAGTTTTTTTTTTTAATTCTCTCTTCTGTTAACAGAATTCCACCACGGATAAACACATATTTCCTTCATAATCTTCCTCTTCCTCTCCCTGTCCTCCAGTCTGGGACTGTCCAGCTGTTTAATGGAGTAGCAGACCCAAGCATGGGAAGCACACACCACGCTTGGGCCTTCGCACTACTGTGCTGCAACCTACAAAAAGAACCAGGTGGACCTGGAGCCCACCCATGCCCCCTCCTCTTGAGAGAGCCTGAAACTCACGGGAACAGCAGCCTTCCAGAGGCACGGCAAGCATGCGCAGGCCTATGCACAGCCTGCCAGCTCAAAACTGAGCAAGACACGGCCAGTGTCGTCCAGTTCCTGGGTCACTTTGCTCTCACAAAGGCTCTCAGTTATGTATTCTAATTCAGGAATACAGTAGAAGAATGAGGGGGCGGGCATGGTTAAAGAAAAAGGAAAGAATGAAATGTTGACAAGGGATTTTTGAGATCTTTTTTTAAAAAAGAAAATTACAGATGCAATTCACAATTGATGTCAGCTTTTTTATGAAAAATAATTCTTACTAAGAATGCAACAACCAAAAATAGAGACAAAGCCCCTTAAACTGTTACATGTTGCTTTTCTTCTTTGTTCTTCCTTAAATTTTATATTTTCTTATTACAGTTTTAGCACATGGACTGGAACCCAGGGTCTCCTCCATGCTCTGTGTTTGTTCTGCCAATAAATCAAATTGCAATGCCTTTTTCTTCTTATTATTTTTAAATGTAAACAGGCTCTTTGTCTGAATGTATGCCTGTTCATTGTCTGAATGTATGCCTCCTGACCAGAAGAAGGCATCAGATTGTGAGCCACCATGTGGTTGCTGAGAATTGAACTCAGGACCTCTGGAAGAGCAGCCAGTGCTCTTAACTGCTGAGCCATCTCTCCAGCCCTTCTTCTTAATTATTATGATAACTGCAACTAATAAAGTACCCTGGTTCTCAAGAATCTAGGGAAAGTTACTGAAATTGCTACAGTAGGATTAGTTTATTGTACTAAATTTGAATGTAACAGTTTGATCCATAATTCATTTCCTAGCAACTCTACACTGAAAAAGTAAATCTCCTAGCCTTCTGCAGAAGACGGGCAGAAAAACTGGCTTCGGGCACAAGCAGAGTGGATGACCGCAATGAAGCAGTGTGCTGCATACACAACTGGGAAGCAGGCTGTATGAGTTCACAAAGATCGTGGCGTTATTCACGAGCCCTGAGCAAGAGCCAGCCAGACAAAACCCAAACGTGGGACGAGTAGACACCAAGTTCCATGAAATTGGGGGTGGATAGAGAAGGAACCAGAGCAGAGGGAAATGGGAATAAATTCAATCAAACACACACAATATGTGTATATGAAATCCTCAAACAATAAAAAATAATTAAATTACTGGACATTAAAATATCTTGAAACAAGATTTTTTTAAAAAAATTAATTAATTAATTAAAATGGCTAATCTCATTATTGGTTTCCCACAACAGTCTCAAAGGCTGACTAAATGATACCTACTGAGATTCTTAAAATTATGCCAGTCACCCTACAGTAAAGGAGTGTATTATCTCATTTAAATCTTACAGGACTCATACAAGGTTACTATGAAAACCACTGTTACCTTACAGATAAGGAAAACAGAGGGCGGAAATGAATTAAAATGCCCCAGGTTGTTTCCCCTGTCGGTTGGGAGCCACCCAGGAGACTGCTGTGTTATTACTGGTTCTGTGTTCAAGGTCTATTCTATCAAGAGCATCGCAGCCATGCCCAAGTATCAATGTAAACTCACATCTCTCATCATTTTCACGGCTTCTCTGGTCCGCCCAAGTCTCCGAGCACACATTGCCAGCCTTCTCTTGATATAGACCAAGACATTGGTGTCTCGTCCTGAGAAAGGAGAGATAAAACATCAACATTTTAAACAAATCAGTAAAAACCAGAGCTTTAAGTTAACCAGCAAGAAAAATGCAGAAGCCCATTTGCTTACCCTTAAATAGATCCCTCAAGGAGGACAGTTTGCTCTTTTGGCCTTTCCTACTGCCAAGAGCACAGAGAACTAATTTTGTTAATAATAGAATGAATACAGAATAAAGCAAAAGTATTTAGATGCCCAAAGGCCAAAATCATGACTGCTTACCTAATCTGTGCTTTTGAGTTAGGTGCATATTTGTTAATAAATAAAATCTCTGTTACACAGGCCTAAGAAAATGAACACACTGACATGGCAAGAAGTTCACAAGCAAGAATCCCATGTTCCACAAGTATGCATGCTTTTGGTAAAAATGCAGAGGTGAATCTCAGGCTGCAATCTGATGAACTACTTTTTCCCGTTCCTGACATTAACTCTGGAGAAGCCTCATCTTGAACTTCTGGTTCATATTACTCTTTCTCTAACACTAGTGACATCATAATCATCTCCAGGTCCCCAAAGCAGTTGGTTTTAGATGGCAATATAACACATTCCAGATATGACAATAGAGCATGCACAAAATGAAAAACTACCCTAGTGTCAGAGAAAGCACTGACAAGCTACACAGTTATAACAATAGCCACTAAAATGGCCCTTATAAAGTATATTAGCAACTTCTTAGCTTAATCTTTTATTTAATTATGTATTTTGGATGTGTTTTCAGACCAGTGAGAACATGCATATGCTTAATCCTCAATAAAATTACCATGTTTGAGAAAAATATGACACACCTGTTATGGATTAAGTACATGTAGATACTCAGCTATTAAAAGATGTTGAGACCAAAGTCTGAACATTTCAAGTTTTAAACAATGAGAACAAGATGTGTGCTGAAAAACTGCCAAGTACCTACAAATTATTTTAAGGATGTGATTATATTTTTGGATAGATTTAGGCAACAGGTTGAAAGGATTTAATTTAGAGAAGAAAAGAAAGAAAATGTTTTCTGTTATATTGTAGGTTGTGTCCATGTATATGTATTAATTCCCACTTAGTTCACAAAACAGGCATTTACTGCACATCTTCCCAATGCACTGTCCTATTTTTATGATGATCGGAGACCTCACTGCTGTCTCTACTCACTGCAGAATCAAACCAAACGTGTGTGTCGACGGCATGGGTGGACACGCTCCCACACGTGTGGACTATAATGTAATGATACTGCTGGCACCCGAGACCTAGAGACTGAGTCAGTCAGGGTCTATACCAAATCCAAGTTTAATATTAAAATTTAATTATATTATATCAAGTATGAAGGACACATATATCCCTACTTTCCAAACTAACGGAGAGAGAGATGAAGTGGGAGAAATTCTACCTAAAGGAAACAACTCACATTTTTGTCAGACCGTGAGAACACTTTTCTCCCACAGGATCATGGGTTTCTGTTTACACAACCAAGATGAGCCCAGGGCTCAGGGAACTCCGGGAATGACGTGGTCCTACTTCTATTCGATTCCCAGAAAGCACCATGAGTTCTCAGGCTGGGTACTGCAGTAAAGGGCCTCAGCCTTTAAGGAGTTATCTTTAAAAATGTATTACTTTAATAAAATATCAATACTTAGGAACTCATAGTTCTTTCTCAAAGACAATACTGATGATTTTTAAATAACTAAATTTTGATAGACTATAACCCATAAAAGTTATATTCTCAATTTCCTTTTTTAACCATGCAATGTGAGACTTAGAAGAAAACATTTTTATGAAACTAACAACAAAAGTTGGACTTAAAATTATGAGATGAAGTAGCAACTGCCAAGCAGAAGAACTATGTATGAATTCTGGGGGAGAAATGAGCATTAACAGTTATTGTGGTGGGAGATGCACGGGAGGATCTAAAAAAAGGAAAGGGAAGTGGGGAGCGATGGAATTATAGTCTTCAAACACAGCTTAAAAAGTGATTGATGCTTGTTTATGGCAATGAAATTCTAGGGGCACAAATTAGAATGTGAACACAATGACAACCAAGTGACTGTGCCCTAAGTGCCTTATCAAACAGAATCCAGTTCTGTGCTGTGCTGAACCTTTGTTCTTGCTAACATTTTACCATTCCGATTCCCCAGTGCATCACCCTGGAGGAAACCTTACTGTGCTGAGCTTCATACTGGGAGCCATGGTGCTGTAGCTGCTGAGAACGTCGATAGCAACCATCTCCAGCCTTCAGCGCCTGCTTAAAGAGTTTTTCTGCTTCCGCAATAGTTGTGGCTTCTTCTTCGGCCAAGAGAATATACGCAGTTGCACACCTGTCCATTCAGACATCACAAATTACAAATCCAAGGCCACTGAGTAGACTGCGGGAGTTCATGCAGAAGGGTAAGGAGTTACACCAAACATGCAGCATGACCAACGGTTTCATGCACCTGTTTGTAGCTGCTGACACAGGAATGGTACAAAAGAAACACCTAGAGTTTAGCTTAAGAGGTAGGATGCAAAGTGTTAGGAGCAAGGGGTTCATATATGACTTGGCCCCTTATTAATGTGTCACTGGGGCAAGGTATCACTCTGTCTCCCTGATGTATAACATGGGGTCTGTTCGGTGTCTTTGTGAAGGTTCAACGAAATGCAGTCTGGGAAGTGCTCGGTGTAGCGTCAGCACCAAGGATGTGCTCACTGAATGTCACCTAATGATGATGAGTATAAGAGCTACTAGTGAATGTCTCCTTCCAACACTTGGAGAGTGACATATAAGCTTCCTTTTGTTTACTAGATACAGATTATTTGCAGTTCAAGAATTTCTTCAGAGTGCAAAATTCATTAACTCAAGTTACTGACTGAAAAAAACAAAATAAAACAGTGCTTGGAAATCTCATGACAGCACTGATTTTCTGTGTCAGAGAACACAAGAAGAGCCTGCAAAAGTAGCTTCTGAAAAGCTCAAACTCGGCCACAGCCACAGTCCCCAACAAGAGTCCAGTCTCCTGCCTCCAACAACAAGCTAGCATTTGCTGCTGTATGTACAGTAAACACTATACCCGGCACTAAACATCACCTCATATAACCCTCCCAACAAACCTATGAGGTAGGAAGCCAGAAGGGATATGCAGTTAACTCAGCAACACGGGAGGCTTTTAGAGATGCGAACCTTCCAAATCATACAGAGAACAGCCCACTGTCAGAGAACTGGAGAGTTTGAGGGGATGATGGGGCCAGAACAGACAACAGGGGTGTTGATCCGTACTCATCCCTTCTCTCTCCTTGTCGAGTTCTCTGTGGCCATTGCCCTATTTCTCTCCATCAGACCACAAGAGAGGAAATAAATAGAAATTAAAACTAAATGTTACTGTGTGAAAACTGCAAAGTCAGCTGGGAGAAAGTATGAACTGACAGATAATACTAGATTTGGGTCCATCTGATTCTTGAGGGTTGAGGGGAGACTTACAAATTCTTTATCCCATCCCTTTAATTTCAAGTAAGAACCATCAGTGCAGTTTTAACTAAATATGAAAAGGTAGGGAGAAAATACCTAGAACAAAAGCTAGAAAAGCAAATACTATGGAGGGCAGAATACATGACTTGGGAAGAACAACAGCAATGCTAAAAACTGTCTCATGATTTACTGAGAGGAACTACTTGGGTAGGCATCAGAGGAAATACTGAAGGCCTCAGATGCCCAAATATTAATTTGAGTTTAAAGTAATAAACTGAACGTTGAGATAATAGTAACTGTGGACACAATATAAAGAAACTAGCTATAAGATGGCAGCTGGAGGGTTGGGAGTTCATGAATAGTTAGGGCTAGACTGCTGGCGTTTTGTGTTCTTACTTCAAATAGTATTCTCAGGAGAGGCGGAGTAGCAGTACGAGCCAAGAAACGTGTCTATGTAGAACCTTGTGAGTTCTGGGTAAAACATGCCAAGAGCTGGTGAGTGGAAGAAAAGGGAGAGAGCAATAGAACTGCTAATGGTTGGGGGCACAGAACGGGACTCTCAGCTTGATGGAAGATGTAGATGATGCTTTTTGTCACAACACAATACACAGACAGAAGCAAGAAGTGTGGTGATGGAGTGTCAACCATCCAGATATCTGCTAGAAGTCTTGTTTGGTTAGAAGTAGGGTACCTGACAGGCTCTTGACTTACTTCGGTAACAATTTTATCTCCCAGATGGTAGAGGAAGCAATTAGGGGAACTTCAACTCTGGACCTAATTCTGACCAAGAAGAAAAAAATAGTTGGTGAAATGAAAACTGATAGGAACATTCAGCGAGAGTTACTATGTCATTCCAGAGTTCAGGGTAATCAAAGAGGTGGAGGTAGATTTGGAAAACTCATAGGAAAGAGGCAGGACTCAATGGCACGAGATGTAGTATGGAAAATGACTCAAGAGGACAGAACAGCTTCCAAATATTCAATTGTAATCATAATGACAAAAAAAAAAAAACTTTCAGGAAGAGCAGAGGGCGGCACTGAAGCAAACAGAGTGGCTTCACAGAGACCGAGCCCAGGTCAATTCTTAAAGGGCAAACAAAACAAAAGGTCAAAAGAGGGCATGGGATGGATTGCAAGAAGTGGAATGGATTCATAAGAATAACACCAGGAGAGCTAAAGTTCCAAATTAGCAAGGCTTGGCTAAATAAATAAAATGAGCAAACATACAAAAACCACTAAAGACAACCATTCTCTGTTTTAAAATTATGTCTATTGCTCTCCCTCCCAATTTCTCCAAAATCACCACAAAAACAAATAAGCAAAAAAGACATCACGACAACATTAAAACAAAGAAGGTGTGTGGTTAATAGTGGCGGACAGTAAAGAGAAAGGGAAACCCCCTCACTTCCGTCTTGCTCCTGGCTTCTCTTGCTATCAATGAGAATGACAGACTAAAAAGGAGAGAAGAAATTAACTCTAAAATGGAGAAAGAGATGTAAGACAGCACATCAGTAATACACTCTAAACGAACTACGCTTCTGGGAAGGGCCACTTCTATGAAGCCAACTGGCCGTGCAGGCAGAACACGGAATTGCACTCTGTGGGGTTGTGGGGTCACAAAGAATAGAAACTACAAGATGAGACAACAAATGTGAGAAGCCTTCACCAGGAGAGAAGGCTGACTTCCCAAATGACAGACCAGTGATTCAGAAAGAAATTCCAGTGAGTATTAAAGAAATTGCCTCTAAGCACATTTAAAAATAAAAATAAAAATAAAATAAATGAAGCAGAAACCACTAGAAATCAGCTTAAATGGTTAAGAATAAGCAACACAGGCTTGCTGGCTTCATTTTCCCTGATAGACGTACAGTATCTATTGAAGCTCTCTACACAGCTGACAGGCTTAAGATCAAAATGGAGAAATGTGAGCTGAATCAGTGTGACAGGGTGCTGGTAACTCGCTGGATAATACCAAAGGAAGGTGATTAATGAAGACATGAGTCTGCAGGGTAGTTTCTCCATGTCATACTCCGGGGCTTGGCAGTCCCGACACTTTTCTCAGACACACGAATGACACACAAGAGGCAGGCGTATTAAACTTGTAGACGGCAAGAAAGCAAAAGGTATGTCACATGACTGAGCCAGAAACCATGCAGGTCCAGCATTGCAGGGACAGGATCGGAAACTCAGTGACCACTGGAGAAGATTCTGTAACCTTCTTGAGAAAATCATAAAATAGTTTAACAATGACCACTTGGCAAGAACCCTGCTGAGGTGATTCAAACACCAGATGGGTGGTTGAGTTAAATGACCTTTAAGGTTTCTGCCAACCCTAACTTTTAATGACTCCAATATTAAGAAACTTATTTTCTCAAATCTCCAGAAGAAATTTCCCAGTCTTCCTTGATAACCCATAGAATAGTTGCTGCAGTAAGGACAAGGCTTTCTCTTGCTTTCATCTTGACAGTCAAACATTTTAATGTTGTTTTTTGTCCCGTTATCTATTTTGTAGGCACTGTTTGTCCTACTACCAGAGGTTACATCTAGAAACAGGGATGCACAGATGAGCCTTCTACATCTAAAGAGAAAGACCCCTGTCAGAATGTTCTAGATATGCCAAGAAGTCTACTTAGCTTATGTTCTCACAATATACCAAGTACTTCCCTTGAAGGGTTTAATCTGGGGTCACAGTAAAGACACTTTATTCCAAAGCAGCTAATCCCCTGCAAACCACCCTCCATGCCCCCGCCACGGCTATCCTCCATAGAAGCAAAATTTTCGAAAGTAATGCCCTGCAGTTCAAACACACAGCTTAACAGAAGTGTCCCATCCATGGTGACTGAAAATATTCAGCATGAGACATGACGTCATTTTAATAGCAAGTCTGTTCCCTACTTACTCATTTATCTCCAAGGCTTCGTGAGCTGCAGAAATCCTGGCTTGAGGGTTCCTCTCTCTCCAAGCTTTTTGCATTACTAGTTAGAAAATAAAAGGAACAATGCAAGTCAGCTGGTACATATAAATGGGCTGATGGATAGAAGACAATTACTGGTTGGCAGCTTTATTTGTAAGAGAACATTTTATTACCAAGAAAGTCAGCCCATATCTCCAAAGTCACACAAGTATTCTGAATTACTATTCCATTGTTCTTAAGTTGCCAATGACTAACTTTTTGTGTGGGTATTAAATTACATACATAAATATCATACACCAAAAAAGTCAAGAAAATGAAGATTCCACCTCTTTTGACTTCAATAAACATTTGCTGTTAGGAAACATATTTTACATATTTCAAAATTGTTATTTTATAGTCAGCTCATTCTGAAAGTACCTGCTCCCATCTGAAAGTGACTCTCATTCCACAATACATAGTTTCTATGCAACATGTTCCAACGCGTTTGCTACAAACCCTGGATCTTTGAATGTTGGAACTGTGTGGAGGATGTGAGCTAAGTTGAAGTGCTGTAGGATTTCACTTGACAATGACTTTAAAAAACAATATTCTTATATAGTTTGATAACTCATATTTTATAAGTCAGTTTCTTAAAAGTATGTAGAAATTGTTTTGTTTAAAGGTGTTGTCCTAGCTGGTTTTATGTCAACTTTCACATAATGTAATCTGGGAAAAGGGACTCTCAGTTGAGACTATGCATCTATAAAATCAGGCTGTGCCAGTCTGTGGGACATTTTCTTAGTACAGATAGGGGAGTGCCCAGTTCATGGTGGATGGTGCCATTCCTGGGCTAGTGGTCCTGGCTCTTTAAGAAAGCAGGCTGAGCAAGGCAGTAAGCAGCCCTCCTTCATGGCCTCTGCATCAGTCTCTGCCTCTAGGTTCTGGCCCAGTTTGAGTTCCTGCCTTGGTTCCCCTCAATGGACTCTGATTCAGGATATGTAAATAAACTCTTTCTTCCCCAAGTTGCTTTCCCCAAGCGTTCCACTAGAGTAACAGCAATCCTAACTAATTCGGGAGCTTTCAGCTATTTACTTTTGACCATTTAATAACTCAAAACTTACCAGTAGGAAAGTAACGAATGTGAAATGCATGTTAAACAAAGTCTTCTCTGAGGTAGAAAACACATATGTACCCCTACAGTCAAAGCCACGTGCCCTTCCAGTGCTTGTAAGCCAATCTATGAAGTCAGTAAACTAGCCTGCTCGTTCACAGCCAGTGATTCCCAGTTTCCAGTTAGAATGTGACCAAGGGACTCTTCATTCCACCTGGCCACGAGGTAAACTCCTGCCATGTAAGAGATAGGCCTTCAAAATACACAAAGCTAATGGTGTTTTAAAATCATGTTCTAGATAATAATAAGCCTCATTCCTACATTGATAATTATTTTGAATAAATCTGATATAAGTATAAGGGTTATACTCTTCAATTTAATATTTTATTTATTGGCGAGAGAGGTATGTGTGTGCCCTAAACAATAACCTCGGGTGTCAATCCTTCATCCCCCTTTCTTCTTCTTTTTCCCACTTCTTCTTCTTCTTTCTTTCTTTCTTTCTTTTTTTTTTTTTTTGAGACAGGTTCTCTAATTTGGCCTGAATTTCATCACATGGTTTAAGCCCCAGGGATCCGCATGTTCCCACCTCCCCAGAGCATGTGCTACCACATCTGGATTTTGTTTCCTTTTACATGAGTTCAAGAGATCAAAATCAGGTCCTCATGCTTACAAGGCAAGAGCTTTGCCCACTGAGTTAGCCCCCCCACCCCTCGTTATTCTTTTTATACAGCTCAGACTGACCTGGACCTTACTATGGAGTCCAAGTTCATCTCAAACTAGAGATCCCCTTGCCTCTGCCTGCTGAGTGTTTAAGATTACAGATGTGTGCCACCAAACCTAGCTGCAGAGCAGGTATTTCAGAACCAGAGCCATGATTTGGAACAAGCTAAAAAGCTTCCCCACCCTGATGCATCTGAAGGACTTTCCATACTTGCATCTGCGGGACGAAGATGGTCCGAATCACAAGTAAAGAATGTCTGGTGATCCTGGGCAGAGAGGTTCATGTCATAGTACGTCAGGGGTTCTCGGCCAGTGACCCACGTGTACCTGTCAAGGGCAAATATAATTGTCAAACAGTTTTGAGAAAGCAAAGATCTACAAAAAAGGAAGCTGTAGAGCAACCAAAATGCAAACTACTGCCGAGTGTTAAAATAACTTTGCTCGTGAACACCAAAACTTCTTTGTAAAAGTCATCCTGCTTGGGGATCAGTGGTTAGGAGCACGGACTGCTCCTCCATAGTATTCCTGTTGGATTCCCAGCAGCCATGTGACCATCTGCACCTCCAGTTCCAAGGGGATCTAATGCCCTCTTCTGGCCTTCCTTGGCATTGCATGCACATGACACACAGGTATATGCAGGCAAATCACTCATACACATAAAATACAAATAAATCTTTAAAAAAAACTTCCTTCACGAATTAATATCACAAATAAATATGAATTTTCTCATATATTTTTGTCTTAACATTTCAGTAGTCTTCTATAATAAAACTTCTCTAATTAATATTACAAATAGATATTTTTCCCAAACTATGAAATTCCTAATTTGCCTAATTAGTTCATTCAACTAAGCTGCAATAAATATAACCTGTCTGGAACCAATATAATCAACTTTCAGGGAACTTTCAGAATTAGAGAGCTGCAGCTAGCCTAAAAACCCAAGTTCAATATCTAGAACCCTCCTGGTGGAAGTGGAGCATCATCTCCCACAAGTTTGTCTATGACCATTACATGTACCATATACATGCACATATACATACAAACACACTTAATTTTTTTTCAAAGAATAAGCATAAAAGAAAAAAATACAGCTTATAGCTTTGTATATTATTCCCAACTAGAAGGTCAGAAAACCTTTAAAACAGAAAAACAAAAATGCTTTAAGATAGTATCAGAAAATGGAAGCTGCTGGAGATGGTGACACATGCCTCCAATCCCAGCTCTTACTCATGAGGCAAAAGGATCAGGAGTTTAGGGTGCTCCGTAGCCAAACAGCAAGGTCTGGACTTTGAAACCCTGTCTCAAGTAAAAGCAAGCAAGAAAGAGAAGTAGGGGGAATAAAGAAGAGAGGAGATGGAAAAGGAGGAGGTGTAGGGAAGATAAAGGGAGGCGAGAGGAAGGGGGAAGGCGGGAGGGGAAGAGAGTAAAACACACTATTACGTGACCCCTCAATGAACCAGCAATAGCGCTTGCTATTTTTGCTCCCTAAACCACTCACTCACTCGTTTCCTGAGCTGACAAAAGACTCACCGATTGTATTCAGCACCCCTAAACAAATTTAGTGGATTTCGCCACACTTTGCACTCTGTAACAAAGAGAATATGAAAATGTTACACGTAAGTCCAGTGACACGAGGAGCTAATTAATTTAGTAAAACACCCTTCCGGGCCATTTGATAAGATAGCGTTATTCTCTATCCTTTATATAGGAAACTGAAAAACAAAAGGCAACCGCTGAGATTAATCAGGTAATTGAGGCCAATCAGGCTCTGCGGCGGGGAAACTTCACCTAATCTCTGGGTCCCGGTTTCCGTGTTTTCTCAACTCACAGCACATGCCCATGTCAGCTACTGCGTGACTTTGTGTGCTTATTCTAAGAGTGGATTTTATGAATTTATCTCCAAAAATATAGGGAAGGGGACATGTAGAAATGAGACTATATTTCCATCACTCTGGAATCCTGCTCTACATAATACAGAGAACGCTAGCTAGACTCAGCCAATTAAGGACTACGCTAGTTTTTATTTGGAGATAATTTGCTAGATTGATATTGTCTTCCCAGAAAGGAGTATGAAAATTAATAAAGTTACCATAATTATAGAAAGAAGTTCTATGAAAATAAACTGTTTGAGGACATACTTATGCTGATGTGTGTGTGTGTGTGTGCGTGCCATCACATTGATGTTATAATATTAATTACTACTAAGATTGAACATTTTTCTTAAACAGGGAGCATAGAAACTTAGGACCATGGGGATTTTACTTTGAGAAGTGCATTAATAGCTTTAAGACTGTGTCCTATTAAGCATGTGATTAATAAGCTATAATTGTTTGCAAACATCCTATTGATCAAGACTTTCTAATGATTTTATAATACTAGATCCCTTTGGATAAAGAAAGTTTTATTAGAAAATAAAACCCACTTAACCAAACCCAAAACATCAATACCCAAGGAACACACCCAATGATATGTACACTCAAACGATGGCAGAAATCCAAGAGCTATTAAAGGCCAGATGATGATTCATTGGGATTCTGCAGTAGGCCTGTTCATCCAACTTCCATCCCGCCACCCCTTTATCCGTCTAACTATCCAGTAGGCATCACTTAACTCTCGGTGCAGGAAACATGTAAAGAAATACTACAGTCCGCTGTATGCAATAAAACAGAAAGCACGGTGTAATCTTCTGTATGATCACAGTACAGCATTGCTGAACTAGTAAAGCAAGCATGTACTTATAATGGGATGTGTGTTTCCATTTAAAGGAGATGAGTTTATCTTTAAATTAAGACAATATCTCATTTTAAATTTATGCAATGTTTATAATGGCCCCAAAATTTTGTCAGCTTAATTTGTTATTTAATGCAACATCTCTGGTTTCTGTTAAGAAACTGAAATTTGATAGTTATCACTTCATATTACACAAACTAGGAAATTACGTTTCTTTTAGTTAATTATTTGCTGCCCAAACCAAAGTCTATTAGAAGGGTCATGAACACTGTGGTTCCAGATCTTGGCTTGAAACACCATGGCCAGCCAAATGATCGTGGTTACTGTCCTAGGACTGGAATAACTCTTAGAACGTCACCACTGCCAGCGGCTCCCCAGTTAAACCACCGAGGTTCAGAATGCTCCTCTGGACACTTCCCAAATCGGGCAAGGTTTATAGTTAGGCTACAATAAACTTACAGTACAAGGAAGTACATGTTAGAAATATTTACAATAAAACGGGAATATTTGAAAAATAGTTCTCGTATTTAATTCGATTAAGAATATTAAATTTTTAAAAAAGTTTGGCCAATGTTTTTCTACAAGTACATTATTATTGTGCCTGGAGGGGGGAAGTACCATTGAAAATCCAATTGGCAAATTAAACTGAAAATTATCTCCAATTAAATGTTGCCTCTATTACATCAATTGGAACTTAAAATATTTCTAAGGAAAAATAACTCCAAAAAGAAATACTGTGTACTTTAAACAGTCACCAGTCAGTGCCTAAAGGACACTGTATTTAGGAATTTCCATAACATTGCCAGCAGGGGGTGCTGCAAACGTTCTAAAACGCTACATTTATCACTTAAAGACCAAATCCTTGTTAACTTGCTGTCTCAGAGGTGTTCAGTACTCACTTTTAAACCATCCCTGAAACTTAGAAATCTGTGGGATGTAAAGTGGGGAAGGCGACCAAGGCGTGCAAAGCAGTTTTGCACAGGGCAGGGTTGTTTTGCCTTAAGAAATGAACAATAGAAAGGTCATCTATATGCACACATCTAATTTTTGCCTTAAGTGACATCACAGCTACATAAATTTCATCTTTGCCCTTCTATTCCATAATCTTTCACGTAGAAAATTCTGGAATCACTCCAGAGAGCACACCCCATAAATATCGATCGCCTGACGTGACTTAGCGTATCATGGAAAGGGTGTAAATGCCAAATATGAGGATTCCAGAGAAGTGAACCTCCGCGGGGTAAGACAGTGTATGTTCTTTTCTTATGTGTACTCTTGAGGAATAAACCTATTGCAGACCATATTTCAACTCTTCCTTCAAAAAGAATGTTTCATTCTTCATTATCGTCCACAATTTCTGTGCCACTGGGAAGCACTCAAAGTCGCCTTCACTAAGTGCCTGTTCGCAGCATCAAGAGTCGAATATCACTATGTCTCTAAGACAAGCACACACAGTCCCTTCATCTTCAGTGTCCACAGGACAGTCTCCATGCACGGCTGCTGATGGAAATGCTGTGCCCTCAGCATGGACGCAAGACCGCCAAAGCTCCCGGGGAAGGGAACCAACTGCCATTAAGTTTCTATGTGGGACACAAAGAGCATAAAACTTAATCCAGTGAAGATTTCTAAAGCAAGCTCTGAATGTTTTTGAAGCCCTTCACCACCCTCATTACTTTGTAGCTTAGACTCAGTCACCCTGCTGGCTAATTTTGTGTCAACCGACACAACCTATAGCCATCCAAGAAGAGGGAGCCAGGATGGAGCAAACTCCCCCAGAAGACCTGGCTGCAGAAACGCCTGTAGGGCATTTTCTTAATTAATGATTGATGTGGGAGGCCCCGCCCACTGTGGGTGGGAAACACCTGGTCCTGAGCGCTGAAATTCCTGGCAGGAACCTCCACACCCAGCTGCCATGCACTGGGCTTTGCACAGCAGCAATGTGGCGCTCATGGGTTCTAAACTTAGCTTTCATTGATCCTTTCTCTTAGGAGGTCTCAGGTTATCACCTACACTCCCTATATAAATTAGTGAGATGAAAAGGGTCTATGCATATTAGACCGTTTCCTCCAGGTCACAACAAGGCCTGGCGTCTGGATTCATCTCTTACCTACAACAAGCAACAAACCTGTTCCTACCAAAGTATCACATTCAACATCCTGTAGCTTCATCAATTCAAATGTCCAATGGAAGAACAGACTTTGAGCTTCCTCTAGGGCATGCCAGTTACTTCAAAATAATACTTCCAACGTGTCCAAACGTTTCACTGGACATATTATTAGATTAGCCCCAAGCGAACCAGTCTTTGAAGTGATTTTGCCTACAGTTAATTAGCTTTGATATGTTAGAGACGAATACCCAATCGTCTACATCATACTGATCAATTTTAGGTAATTATTAGAAGTGCTTCTTTTGGAAAAATAATTAAGCCATAACTACTTCATAACTTTTCAAAATAACTATGTTGAGAAGTGATGTAAGGCTTGAATGCTGTGTTGGGCCTGCTGGCTGCAAATGAGAGGCCAGCAACACAAAGGGGAACCGTCTCCACTTCTGGCTGCCCCGGGTCTTTGGCTAGCTGAGCTTTAACCAGCTTGCCTAGAAGACAGCGCTTGGAGCAAAGACCTCCTACTCAGATTTGTGGGTATCAGGACAGAACCCCGAGGGCACAAAACACCTAAAGAACTGCCAGTAAGTCACGTGGGTAGTGGACCCCGAGAGGGAGAGGCCGGTTCAAACCGCCACGCTGCCCGGAGTTGACTATTCTCCGCCCACCACACCAAGCTCCAGAGGGTGACTGCGAACCTCCAGCCGCTGTGCGCTTGTCCCTCCAGAGGAGCCAGCCTGGACCGGAAACCATGATCCCACAGAGCAGAAGTGGGAGGGGACCGTGGAGCTGAACCACAGGCCCATACCCGCGGCCGAGCCTGTCCAGAAACCAGAAAGGAGCCCAGCACGAGCCCGGAGGTGAACCCCTCGGAGGCCACCCCACAGCAGCAGGGCACAGCGGGCGCGGGACTGGTCTGGCCTAACCTTGCTTACAACGTTTGGGTAGTCGGAGCCGCTCGGCACCGGTCCCGGCTGGGGAGGGCTGGGTGGGCTGGGTGGGCGCCATGTTTGACTTCCGCAAGGTGCAGTTCTTCACAGACTCACAAACAGGGCTGTCTCCTTATGTCTTCTGTAACATCTGATTTCATTTCAGGTTTGATGTCAGTATTTCAGCGGGAGTAAAATGATCCACTCGGTGGGGAAATCCATAGGGATGTACCGTGTGAGCTTCAGTGGTCTTCAGGCTCCCCACAGCCCTGAGCATCCCTGCCCCTTGCACTGTCCCTTCCTCCCCACAATCCCCTCTCTCCGGGACCTGGGCTGTTGCTTGCGGGCCTCAGATCCATAGCCTTCACGTTTCTGTGGCATTTTTGTAGGCACCAAAGTTTAAATAAAATGCTCATATAAAGAAAACATGATTTTATTTTAAAGAAAAATTGGCATAGAAAACATGAATAACGTTCATTCAACAAATTTTGTTGCTACAAATTCTTGCATGGAACACAAAGAGGGATCAGTGAGTGCGAGTTGTAAGGCCATTTTTATTGGCTTGCTTTATTGAAGCTTGCTTTATTTCGTCAAAGGTATTGTGAGACAGCTAAATCTTTTCATTCAAAAGTTATACATTTCTCACTGACCATTTCTGATTACATCAACTCCACCAAATATATTAACCCTGAAACAAGTCTTAAATATATGCACAGTCACTAGAAAGTAAAGCCATTTCAGGCTTTTTCACCATTTAACTAGAAATTCCATCTATATTAGAATATAATTTTTAATGCCAAATGATTTTGAAAAGATGACTAGGGAAATCACTTTCAGGCCATAGATTAGATTTTGGCATGTATCTATCTATTTATCCCCACTGAGACTATTAGCAAGCAATCCCAAAGGTCCCTAATGCATAAAAGTTCCTAACTTTGCAAACGGAGCCATGTACTGCAAGCTCTGAAAGGCTTGGGTGTAAAAGTCACTGACCATATGCCCATATCCCTGAGTGGTGGCATTCTCCCAGATCTGTTTTTAAAGTGAGTTTATCTGGGAGGCACTGCTATGTAAAAAGCTGTCCCCTGACTTGGTATTTCTGTGTGGCCTCAATTATTTACACAATATTCTGTGAAATTGATATTACTGTTATTCCCATGTTTTCAGATTAAGATACTAAGGTTTATTTAGGAAAGTTAAATGGCAAGCCTTAGGTCACTGACTGTGACAGTTATAGAACCAGAGCCACCCGGTTGTCAATCATTGCCACCAAGCTGCTTTTAGAGTCATTTAATGTCCTGTCACAGATCTTGTCGTGCACTGTGTTAGAGTATTAAGACTGTCGTCATTAAGGGTTTTGAAGCCAGTTGTCACTCCATTGATGTGGGATTTCCCTCTGTGTGCTGTGATCACCATTGATAAATAAAGGAACTGCGTTGGACCTATAGCAGAACTATAGGGGAACAGAGCTAGGCAGGGGAAACTAAGTTGAATGCTGGGAGAGAGGAGGCAAGGTCTGGAGAAACCATGTAGCCCCTGCTGGACACAGACACCAGAACTTTAGCCGGTAAGCCACACCCACATGGCTATACACAGATTAATAGAAATGGGTTAAATTAATATGTAAGACTTAGCCAATAAGAAGCTAAAGCTAATAGGCCAAGCAGTGATTTAATTAATATGGTTTTTGTGTGATTATTTTGGGGCTAAGCGGCTGGGAACCAACAAGTGGCCCCCTCTTACAACACTCCATAGATTAAACTGGCCTTAAAATTTTCAATTTTCCTGGCTTTGCCTACCTAACACTGAGATTACATGCGTAAGCCAACAGGCCCAACAATAATTTTTCAGTTACTTAATTACTGAATTAATTACTTAATTACTAATTTCAGTTACTTATGTTAACTTTGCCTCATAGTCCTTACAGTCACTGGAGCAGTCACTTAGAGTATCCAACTAGTCCTTAAGAACTTGGATTCATACGGTTGTGCATGCCTACCTGAAATCCCCAAACTCTGGAGGGAAAGGCTGAAGGACTCAGAGTTTGAGACCACCCTGAGATATAGAGGAAGGCACTGCTCAAGAAGAGGGAAGAAAGGGGAGCCCAGAAAAGAACTACCCAGGTGTGCCGGCTTCATCAGATTCAAAATGAACATAATAATCGTCATCTGCTTAGTAGGGTGATTATAAGGATTAATTATGGTAATGTCATTTAAAACTGATTGCAAGGACTGAAAGTATTAACTATGAGCAGACCTTCATGGATTTATATGGAAAAAGGTTTAATTGTGGGGATTTGCCATCTATGACGGTTTTAGGACTTCTGTCACTTTCCCCAAGTTTGTTATTTCCAATGCTTCTTTGTTGCCCTTTTAAAATCAGTGCTTGAGCTGCCGCTAATGTTCCAATAAACATTAATTTAGAACGCAGAATATATATTTATACAGCATGATTCCATTTAAGTAGAAATTAGAATTTTTATAACTAGGATTTGAAATATACTGTGAAAATCAATAAGGTAGAGATGAGATGGCTTGGACAGGCAGCCTGGTGGCTGTGTTGAAGCTGCTGGAGGTCCGGCTCTCCTCAGGCTTCTTAAAGCCTCTCAGAGCAGCTCAGCTGGATTTGGCACCGCTGCTCACAGGATGGAGCAATTGCACATTCCCATATCTATCTGGCAAGAGACACATGTGCAAACCTTGTCTCTATGATATTGTGTTTGAGAACAAGAATAAATTATCAAAACATGTTCCGCTAAAGCCAAACTCTAGGTCTCAGTGGGCTGTGAGAATCCCTTCTCTCAGGAAGAAGTTGGCCACATTTTAAACCGTGTGCATCACCAACTTATGAACTACTTTGAATTAATAAATGACAGTAAAATGAATAGTGATGTGGCAAAATAGTCATCAGAATTTATCAGAAAACATACATTTAGAAGAAACAGACTCATTTCCCAAATAAAGTAAAATAAAACAAGAATGTCCACAAACATGACCAAACAAGATGAAGTTTGACAAAGGTAAGGAACTGTACAATCAATCATGTTTCTCCCCTGAAACACACAGATAGCAGTCACAGACAAATATGGAGAAGTCTGAATTCAGTCCACTTTGCACAGAGCGGGGCTGTAAATTCACAGCCTGCCCTGCTTTCCCAGTGCTCACACCACCACCTCCAACCCAGACCACCATCAGCTGGGCCATGACTGCAAGACTTCATCACAGCAAATCATATTTTAAGGAAAAGACTCCAACTAGTTTCCACATGGACCAATGCTTATAGCTAATGCTTTCATTTTATTTTTAGCTTTGTCCGTGATTTTATTTTTCAAATAATGCCCTTCAACTTCCTTTGCCCACATCTATGGATTTTACTTGCCAGGTTACAGTCCATGTAAAGTCCAGTGAAGAAGTCTATGGCGTTTTAAGGAAATGATATATTCTACCCTCTGTTATGAATTCAATAGCCTTTTATTAGGTTAAAGCAATAAGAAATTTAAGACAAGCACATCTATTTAAAAATATATATATATGAATTATTTTCAGATCTGGGACTTTTTTCTCCTATATACTGAGCTGAAATCAGACTATAGGCAGAAAGTTATCAAAAATAGAGATAACTGTAGATAAATGTATTTTTCTAGTACTTTCCTTATTCAGAAATAAAAACCTGCCAAGCATGGTGACTCTTGCCCATAAATTCAGTATTCTAAAGGATGAGAGAGGAAGAATATAGCGAGTTAGAGGCTATCCTTGGCTACACAGTGAATTTCAGGTCAGCCAAGGAAGATACTGTCTCAAACAAACAAAAAGTGTGCATACACATGCACACAACACAAGAGAATATAAAGTGATGTGAATTCCATGTATCTGGTGTTTCCAAACCTGCGTACATGTTTGTAATACTGAGTTAGCCACATATTCATACCTAAATACAAAGTAATTTCCATTTCTCTAAAGGTATCCATTTAAACATTGATGTAAAATCATGTCATAAATGCTATATATAAAAAGTTCAATAATTTAATAGAAACTAGATGCAAAGTAGTAAACAGTAGTGTAAGTGAGTCAGTAATAACAATCAAAACTTTCATCTTAGACAGGTAAAATCCTCATACACGTAAACCTGAGAATGCCTGTGGCTATTTTTTTTTTTAGTATGTTTTTATCTTTTTGTTTGGCTTTGTTTGGTTTGATTTTGAGTCTGGTTCTAGGCCAGTCTTGAACCCATGGACTCAACTGATCCTTTGGTATTTGCCTCTCGAGTATCTGGGGCTACAAATGTATACCTAGATGAATATATTATTTAAAAGAATTTGAGTCTTTTTTTTTCTAAGGATTTATTTATTTATTATGTAAACAACATTCTGCCTTCATGTATACCCGAACACCAGAAGAGGGCGCCAGATCTCATTTCAGATGGTTGTGAGCCACCATGTGGTTGCTGGGAATTGAACTCAGGACCTCTGGAAGAGCAGTCAGTGCTCTTAACCACTGAGCCACCTCTCCAGTCCAAGAATTTGAGTCTTTCTTGCAGATGATGACATTGAGATTCACTAATAAGTCATGCATCTACTAAGAAAAATTCTAATGATGGCCCAGCAGGATTGCTTATCAAACCTGATAACATGAGATTGATGCATCCCTAGAACTCACCTATAAGAAGGAGGAGAGATCTGGCCACAGAGTTGTCCTCTGACCTTCACACACAGGCTATGCACGTATCTTTCCACCCAATTATACACACACTTGATGATAAATGTAAAATGTAAGAAACGCTACTAAGGAGGAGAACCTGGACTTTTGCTGTAGGAATTCCTACCGCCTGTAGTCTGTAAGTTACCTGCCCACTTGGGCGTGGCCTCTTATCCTATTTATGCCAAGTAAAGCGTACAACCGGTCTCTTTTCCGGCTGCGGGATTCAGTTGCTATTCCCCATTCCAGCAGAAGTTTGTGATCTGTGAGTCTACCCCTAAATAAATAACCCTATATTATACTCAATTCTCAGCTAGTGTGGGATTTCTTTTAAGTGTTCTTCTTCAGACCTTTTATTGAATTAAGAAATGTCAAGAGCTTTAAATTGTGCAAGGAGAAAAGAGGGGCTTCCGTGCAAATAAAATGTAAGCACTTAAAGCTCTTAAAGGGGCATGCTCTCTGTTTGCGATCTGCTAGCTCTTTATTCCATGCAAATATACAGAAATTAACTTCGAGTTAGTTCTGGAGTAATCACGACAGATACAAAGTGACAGCAATTACCTGCCACTCCTTATACGATAATGATTAGATGGTCAAGATGATCTTCTTTAGAGCAATGAGCCATAATCCTTTGCATTGCTGCCTAATGCTCTATTTTGCTGTACTGGGTCTCTTTCTGTCAGAAGGAAGGTGAGTTTAGTGCCTGCATGGTGCCACTTCTGACGTGTGCCCCATTAGGATGAAGTAAGCACACAGGAAGAGCTCCCCAGTACCCTCCATGTCACGCTGCAGAAGCAGGGACTAAAAGCACTGCCCCAACATCAGGAACGGCTTACAGCCCAGCTAAGGAAGTTATAAAATCAGATTGACTTGTGACGGAAAGAAAAATCTAACCTAGCTCCTGAATGTCTTCCTTCCATCCTCAAATCTCAGACCTAATGGAACCCCTCTCTCGGTTTGGCTGGGAATCCCCACTTTGCTTTTCTGTGGCACTGTATGTCCATCTAGTGTAACCACAGCCTGTATCATTTTGTTTCCTCAAATAATACATTGCAGAGGAGGGCAAGGGCATCGACTTTTTAATTCATTAGAACCAATAGAAACCAGGCTCATGATAATTTAGGAATTGTTTACTGAGTTGACCTAAGAAATTGGATGCTTTCCTCTTGTTTGAACTTGTCTGCTTATTGACTTTTAAAGATATAGCAAACACTTGTATAGTTAATACACCATAGATGCTACAAAGAAACACCCCCCCAAAACACAATGCTATTTGATAAGTGTCCCTAAAGGTAAAATTATCAAAGCTCCAGAAAGTAGAGGCAGTATGTATGTCTATTAGAAAAGGCATTGACTTTGGCACTGACAGATGAACAGAGGAACAGAAGAAACATTTTAGGTCAGGTCCTCAGGAGCATGGCAAGCACGGCATTGAAAAGTAAACTGCGACAGAGCAGATTTGGTGAGACAGGTCACACGCATCCCTGTGCTCAGGGCCGAGAGTGTGGCTTCACCATCACTGGAACAGGAAAGTAGTGAAATCAGGTATAGTCAGACTCACCATTCAGCACTTCACCACTGTGGAAGAAAATGTGATTGACGAGTACTCTATATGCTATCCTACATACGACATATACTACACGCTTCCAGTCAATGCTATCAACATTTGTTACGTTAACACTAGTGGAAGCAAAACTAAAATTAATAGCATACACATTTCCTGTCATCAGGATGCTTGCAGTTCCTTCCCTGATACAGCTTCCTTCAGTTCCCTGAAATTTAAAATATTTTTTCTCTGAAACTTAATTTTTAAAATAGTTTAGCTGTGTTAATTTCACAAGAATTTTGTAAGAGACATTCCATACCTGAGACACTCTGCCTGTTGGAATCTGAGTCCCCATTACTGGAATTAGAATTATTGGAAGAGTTGTTGTCGACCCCTCCCAGAAGGGGGCGCAAGTGGCTTACTGAGACTTGTTCAATGAACGATGTTCCATACTTGCGAAAATACCACCATTCAAATATCTAGAACAAAAAAAAGTGTGTTTATGACCTGTTTCCATTTGTAATTTCAAGATACATTCCTCTAATATATGTTTGCTATTTCTTTTCTCATTTCAAATAATGTTTATTTCAGTCTAAAGGTAATAGATTTGAATAATTATCACCAAGAATATTTAAAAATTAAAAATTAGTTAAAAACGGTTGTTCTCTGCTGAAGAATTGTTTTCAAAAAGAATCTATAACTACAATGACAGGTAAAGGAATATTGTTAATGTATATTCCAAATTTCCTCTAAGTTAATATAATATTCAAATAACAAAATCATTATACCTGAAAGATAACTCTAGAAATACATATGGATATGACAATTTTCCCAAAATAAACCTTATAAAATTTTTAAATTCTTGACATTTTATATTTTTGTAAAATGATACCCACCATTAAAAAAACTTTGAAAAAATGTTTTAATTATAAAAGTAAGACTTCTTTTGAGAAATGCTGGTTTTAGCAAACAAGAGTCGGGGGGCAGTCAGAACAAGTGGCACGCTGCTTGAGAGACTAAGCAAGAGAATCGCTTGAGCTCAGGGGTTCAAAGTCAGCCTGAGCCACACAGTGACAACTGGTCTTAAACAAGGGAAAAGGAAAACATGGTAGTCATTTTATACATGGAAGGTACTCAGTTCCTGAACCTACAGCCCCCTTCCTGCTAAGTGCTATACAACAAGCATTTGCTGTATATCATGAATGTTTCTTAGTTCAAAAGCTTCCTGATTGTTTTGAATTTGAAAGAAGAGAAGTAATTGTCCTTAATAAAAGACAACCCAGGGGTTTGAGCCCAGCCTGGTCTACAGAGTGAGCTCCAAGACAGCCAGGGCTACACAGGGAAACCCTGTGGGGTGGGGGGGAAGAAAAAAAAAAGAAAAAAAAGGAAAAGGAATAGCTGCTAGCCAAACATGGTGCCCAGACCTTAATCGTAGCACTCAGGAGGCTGAGGTAAGTGGGTCATAAGTTCAAGAACAGTGAGATCCTGACTCAAACAAATGCGCAAAAAGCCAGGTAAGGTGACTCACACTTATAATCTCAGCAATAAATACAGAAGTTGAGGCAAGAGGTCTGTCATGAGTTCCAGGACAGCTTGGTTACATAAATTAAAAAAATAAAATAAAATAAATAAAACCAAAAAAGCCAGAATAACTACACGCCTGAGTCTCAAAGGATAGTTGTGCTATTCTTTATAATATACAATGTACAATTAACAGAGAATTAAATATGCTTATGTTATTGTTTATTTTATTAAAAACGTTTCATCTGCTCTAGAACAGACACTGGGCTATTATTTAAAAATTGGTGTTTTCTCACTTACGTTCTACTAAACTAAAACAACAGGAAAGCCATCTACGAATACCAGAATGTTTCCAGTCATATATAGGATAGCTTGATTTAATTACAGGGAGTTACTTCTCACACTGCAGTGTTTAAGGAGAATATAGTTTGAAAGGTCTGTGGATATGACACTAACTAGTGTGAAGAAGGAAGAGCGTTCAAAAATGGTGAATGTAGGGAACACAAAGGTCCTTGTGCCCACAGATCTTCAGGGAAACCAGGAATAGTAAGTATTCATGATTGTTCTCTCAATGGAAAAGATATAAAACCTGTTTTTCCACTGAGAAAGCTGGGAACTGGAGGTGATTAATACCCTGGTGATCTGCATTATCTGAAAGATGGGACCAGGTCATATCAAGCTCCCATAGCAGGGACCTGAGGTAGTTAGTATTCTTAATAACCCTTACGTTATCTGTGTAGTCAAGGGCTCCCCAAGCTCCCAGAACCAGGACTGGAGGTGACTAATAGCGCAAATGACCTCTACAATATCTGTATGACTGAGACCACATCAGATACCTCCCCCTAAGCCCTTAAGCTAATACAGGTAGCCTATCTCCAGAACATCTTCTTGGAAGAAACATGCCTTGAGTTGAGTTTCAATATAATTATGCCTCCTTGTAAACTGGAAATTATATTACACTAGGAAATTTTCCCCCAAAATTTACTATCTTTAAATGTGCTGGCAATAAACGTCCTGGCATCAGACTCTCTAGTCTAATGCAAGATGATGAAGTCAAGCTAAACAGAGATGTCATTCTCACCTCTTTGCATTGCGGATCTTGCTGCCAGCAGGGATGCCTGCAGGGACCCCCACAGGTAAATATACAGATTATCGATCCATAAATACATCTATAGTTCCAAGTGAGTTATGTGATTTATTTGGATACCAGTACCTTCAACCATAAAATGGAAATCATATTTATCTTCAAGAGTCCTCGATTTTCATACCAGCTCATTGTAAAGCACCCACTTCCATGTATGGCCAACAGTTAGTTCTCAAAAGTGCTAACAAAGTTACCACTCATTATGTAAATGACTTTTACACCATACAGCCCAAGGATGGTACCTCTAGGAGTCCTGCAGAGAGGTGCCCCTCATTTTGCTAGTTGTGTAGCATTTCCTCCAGAATGAAACATTTCTTCCTAAAGGAAGATGGTTAAGCATAGTATGTTCTAAACTGAGGTGAAACATTGCATCCTGCAGGCAAGCTCACTGAAACCTAGGAAGTAAATAACTGGGAAGCTGCAGGAAGCTTGACTGACTAGTTTTCCTAGGCCCCTCACTCCTCATGATCACGTAAGCACTAATGATTGCTGAGAGATACTGTCAGGCCAACCAAGCTGCCTGGAAAGGACACTCTCCAGTCTGTCAAGTTGCCTGGAAGATGTGCAGTGTGCTTCTGGTGTCCAGGTTTTGTGAGCTTGGTGTGAGAGGTCCTCTGTCTGTGTGTTGCTTTTCTTGGTTAATGAATAAAGAACATGTCTTGGCCTGTTGATAGAGCAAAACTTAGGTAGGCAAGGTTGAATGAACTGAATGCTGGGAGGAAGAAGGGTGGAGTAAGGGAGATGCCATGGATCCACGGCCGGAGATAGACGTGCTGAATCTTTGCCTGCCGGTAAGCCATTGCCACATGGTGATACATAGATTAATAGAAATGAGTTAAATTAATATAAGAGTTAGCCAATAAGAAACTAGGACTAATGGGCCAAGCAGTGATTAATCAATACAGTTTCTGTGTGGTTATTTTGGGGCTAAGTTAGGCCGGGCTGAACAAGCAGGTCCTTCCTCCTACACATGCTGAGCTGAGTTTTTGGTGATACAGCTGCCTTTGAGTCATTCCTGCTCCTATAAATTAACCTCTCACCTAAGCAACCCCAGAAGGTTCCTTAGTTTAGCAAGCTGGACTTACATAGTACCCCTGTTGGTCTGTCACTGAGTCTGTGTCTGGGGTGAGCAAATGCTTCCACATGTCCCCAAGAATAGTGTTGCGCAATCCTAGTTCACAGTCAGGTTAGTGCCGCATCTTAAATGTCACTGGCGTGTTAACAGAAGCACTGTGACAAGGTATACTCGGCTGCAGTACTGAGCAGTCAACAAAGCCTCAATTACAAAAGGACAAACTTTCCAAGACCCCCTCATCGTTGGTCACAGACTGAAGCACGGGCAGTGAAGTTTTTGCTCTCCTTCCCACTGTGTTACGCTACTGGAACACCTACTACGCCACAGCCTGTTCCAAGTATTCCTACCTACCCAGGAGTGATATCCCGGTTACACAATCAAGTCCCTGCACCACAAGCCCATGCTGCAGACCCACAGTGCCCATGGCATGCCACTATCCACTGCGTACACAAAACTTTGAGGTTCAGATTTCTTAGTTCCTCTAGCAGAACCATAGATCAGCTCTAAAATGTACCTTACGGAACGATGCAGGGAATCCACTTACAGATGAGGAGCTTTCGATGCAGGGAATCCACTTACAGATGAGGAACAAAGCTCTTCGACAAGATGCAGTAGCCTGACCTAGACTGCAAAGCTAATGAAACTGTTGCTTAGCCTGAAGGCCCAGCTTTCTGCCACTCTTTCTAAAACCTCTTTATTAAATAAAATTTAAAAAAAAATAATAACAATGCTTCATTTAAACCAGAGCAGACACACAGGCAGCGCTTCAATTTCCTCTGGCAGTATGTCTATGCTTAGTTGTAAAAACCAGTTCAGAAGCAGTCGATCAAACGTGACCAGATAATTCAGCCCAAGAGGAAAATTACTTCAACGTTTGCATTAGACCACAGTACAGCCCTTCTCTCTACACCTTCCTACCTTTTCAGTGCAGAAAGACGGACAGACAGGTTACTCAGGAACTTGTTTGGGGGCAGGGAGCTATGTCTTCCCAAATTTGTCATTCACCAGTACTACTGCCCCATCTGTGTAGAGGGGACACTAGTACCAAGAATGGTCCCTGTCTTTACAGTGTGTGTCAAAAGAAAAGGAAGAGAGGAAGGAATTGCAGCCTGTCAAACCAAGCCCTTTAATTTGAGGTATTAGCAAAGCAATCTTCCACGTATCCCAGAACTCATCAGACATGGAGGGAACACTCTGCAATATTTTCAAAGTGCTGAACAGATCCAAATGGGCAGATGGTGTTATTTAATGCATACGTATTTGGTATCACTTTGAATACATTTCCCTGGTGCATATTGACCCTGTAAACAGTAAAGCACTCATAAACAAATTCAGATTTTAAAACAGTTCTTAGACATGCTAGTTTAGCGGCCCTAACGTACTCAGAGGCAGGGGTAGTCTCTCTAGTCTACCAAATAACTTAAGAGTTTAAAAGGTAAAATTATGCATTCCTTAGTTTTAAGATCTTAACTCTCTACTACCCTTTCTCTAGCCTGTGCACCACCCCTACAGTAATACAGATTAAGTAGGACGGGAATTCAAACTATCAATGGGGTGTGGCATTTAGGAAGCCAACATTGAGTCTATCTAGTTAAGGGTAAAATCACTCTTTGTTGAGAGCTAGGATCAATGACCTTGGCTGGTTAACTGGATTCTCTGGGGCTTTTTCTAGGGTGTGGTCAGGCCAGAGAGAACCCAGTTAGCACTGGGAGGGGAAAGATGGGGCAGTAATGAAAACA